CTGAAAATAGTGGTGATGTAAATGAATTTAAGGCCTGCAAATGTTGGTTTGAGAGATTTAAGAACCGTACTGGCATACACAGTGTGGTAAGGCATGGTGAGGCTGCCAGTTCAGACCACAAGGCAGCTGAAAAATATGTGCATGAATTCAAGGAGTACATAGAGGCTGAAGGACTGAAACCTGAACAAGTGTTCAATTGTGACGAAACATGTCTCTTTTGGAAGAAAATGCCAAAGAGGACCTTCATTACACAGGAGGAAAAGGCAATGCCAGGACACAAGCCTATGAAAGACAGGCTGATGCTCATGTTCTGTGCTAATGCAAGTATGGATTTCAAAGTGAAGCCAATTCTAGTGTACCATTCTGAAAATCCCAGTGTGTTCAGGAAAAACAATGTTTTGAAGAGTAAATTGTGTGTGTCTTGGAAATCTAATAGTAAGGCATGGGTCACGAGGAAAATTTTCGTCGAGTGGTTCAATGAAGTGTTTGGCCCTAGTGTGAAGAATTACCTCCTGGGAAAGAAATTGGATCTCAAGTGCCTGCTAGTAATGGACAATGCACCTGCTCATCCTCTAAACTTGGATGACCTAATTTTTGAGGAGTTTGGGTTCATCACAGTAAAGTTCTTGCCCCCGAATACCACTCCTCTCCTCCAGCCCATGGACCAGCAGGTCTTTGCAAACTTTAAAAAACTCTACACCAAAGCAATGTTTCACAGGTGCTTGACTGTGGCCACAGACACTCACTTGACCCTAAGGGAATTTTGGAGAGAACACTTCAGCATCCTCCATTGCATAACCCTTATAGGTATGGCTTGGGAGGGAGTGACTACCAGGACTTTGAACTCTGCTTGGAGAAAATTGTGGCCAGATTGTTTCGACAAGAGGGATTTTGAAGGGTTTGGGACTGACCCTGATGAGCCTATTATTTTTATTATTTATTATCACACCGGCCGATTCCCACCAAGGCAGGGTGGCCCGAAAAAGAAAAACTTTCACCATCATTCACTCCATCACTGTCTTGCCAGAAGGGTGCTTTACACTACAGTTTTTAAACTGCAACATTAACACCCCTCCTTCAGAGTGCAGGCACTGTACTTCCCATCTCCAGGACTCGAGTCCGGCCTGCCGGTTTCCCTGAACCCCTTCATAAATGTTACTTTGCTCACACTCCAACAGCACGTCAAGTATTAAGAACCATTTGTCTCCATTCACTCCTATCAAACACGCTCACGCATGCCTGCTGGAAGTCCAAGCCCCTCGCACACAAAACCTCCTTTACCCCCTCCCTCCAACCTATGAGCCTATGTCTGTTGTTAAATCAACTGTGGCACTGGGGAGTTCCATGGGGTTGGATGTGAGTTTGGAGGATGTGGAAGAATTGGTGGAAGACCACAACAAAGAGCTCATCACTGAGGAGCTGCAAGAGCTTCAGCAGGAACAGCAACAGATTGCAGCTCAGAATCTTGCTGCAGAGGAGGAGGAAGAGAGATGGAAGAAGGTGCCTTCTTCAGAAATTAAAGAGATTTTTGCTATGTGGGGTAAGATGGAAAGCTTTATGGAGAAATATCACCCTGACAAGGTTGTTGCAAGCCATGTTGGCAACATGTACAGTGACAAAGTCTTGGGCCATTTTAGGGAAGTGTTAAAGAGACGCCAGAAACAGAGCTCTCTCCACAGTTATTTTGCGAGACAGGACTAGAGTGACTCTCAAGGTGGTCCTAGTGGCATTAAGAAACAGAGAAGAGAAGCAACCCCAGAAAAGCAATTGGTACCTGAGGTGTTGCTGGAAGGGGATTCCCCTTCCAAACTATAAACAATCCACTCTCTCTCCTCCTCCAGTCTCCCATACACTAAGAAGAATCTCCAATAAAGGTAAGTGTTATGCTGTTAATGTTTCATTCATCATTTCCCATTGTATTGTTTATGTACTACATGTATATTTCATGTAAAAAAATTTTTTTGTTTTAATACTTCTGGGTGTCAGGAACGGATTAATTGTATTTACATTACTTCTTATGGGGAAAATTGATTCGCAAATCGTAGATTTCGTTAATAGTAGCTCCTCCAGGAACTGATTAACTACGAAAAACGAGGGATCACTGTACATATTTTACATTGCCTAGTGTCGAGCACTTTAATTGGCCTAATTTGTAAAAATTGATACCATGCTATAAATTTTTATTTAATGAAAAATATTTTTGGCATTTCACTCTTTGCATTGAGCACAAAGTTCCACGGGAAAGTGCACACTTCAGCACAAAGGTGATGGTGAATGCTTAAAAACGAAAGGCATTTTTTTTTTTTTTTTTTTTAACAAGTCGGCCGTCTCCCACTGAAGCAGGGTGACCCAAAAAGAAAATACTTTCATCATCATTCAACACTTTCACCACACTCACACAATCACTTTTTGCAGAGGTGCTCAGAACACAACAGTTTAGAAGCATATAGTATATATAAAGATACACAACATATCCCTCCAAACTGCTAATATCCCGAAACCCCTCCTTTAGAGTGCAGGCATTGTATTTCCCATTTCCAGGACTCAAGTCCAGCTATATAAAAATAACCGGCATCTGATCATATAATGCCTCCTGCTTCTGCCCCTTACAATGTTCAATTATACTTTGTACACTGACATTGCTTGATGATGCATTCTTCTTTTACAAACACTAAAAATTACTCAAGTTTTACATTAGGAGAAAATATACCGTTTGGGTATAAACTGAAGTTGCCTCTCTAAGGCAGTTAAGCCAGGGGATAGAGCACATATACAGAATTACAGTAGAAAACCTTAAGTCATGGGATCATAGCTCACATTTTCATTATACTATTTAACCCTTTGACTGTCGCAACCCCCAATCCTGAGGTGTCTCCTGGTGTCGCAAAATTAAAAAAAAAAAAATTATTTTTTCTTATGAAATGATAGAGAATCTTTTCCCGATTGTAATGACACCAAAAAAACGAAATTTGATGGAAAACTGACGGAATTATGCTCTCGCGAAGTTAGCGACCTCGGCGCTGTTCACAAATCGGCGATTTCACCCACTTTGAGCCCTATTTTCGGCTAATTCCATTGTTCCAGTCGCCCAAACTCATAGCTATTTCTTTACAACTCCATTTTTTCTATCGATTGAGTACAAGAAACTGCCCATTTACCGATTTCAACTACCTAATAATGTGGTCAGAAATTTGCAATTTGGCCAATTTCACGAAAACTAAAAAATATGACAATTTCAAAATAAGGTCCAGAATGAACAATGCAGACATTCCTGGCTCTAAAATAACATTTTCTTTGCTCATCAGTCATGTCTCCAGGCCCCTCTGATATTACTCTTGCTTTCTATTTTGAATTTTTATTCAAACAAAAAATAGAAGACTTACTATTATACAGACTACTGCAATACTGTAATAATTGTATAAATAACATCAACCCATTCATGACTGCATATTAGAATGGCTAGTTGGACATTTATTGGACAATGGCATCATTTGTTTACTTTTGAACATTGGCAAAAATCAAACATTTCCCCTACTTTGAGCTCCATTTCCAGGTTCTTTTTATAGTAAAATCAATCAAAATCACCTCTATTTCTATAATATGTCTTCCATTCTATCAAATGAGACCAAGAAAACGAGAATACAACCATAAATACTATACGAAAATAGACCGCAAAGTCGGCATTTTAATTAAAAAAAACGGTCGGAGTTTTTTTTTCTCATTATGCACTGCGTGCTCCAGGATTTTTTTTATATGGTGCATACTGACCACACAGACCCATTCTCTCACATGTGGGCCTACCAGCTTTCTCCTGCTTGATTTGAAGCCGCTAGAATTTATGAGTATATATACGTCAAACACGGTACCTCGTAAGACGTATATATACGGCCGCGACAGTCAAAGGGTTAAGGACCCCAATGGAAATAAGTCGCTGACTTTTTTGGGTCATCCTAAGTAATCTACACACATGCTCCTATGTATGATAATTTGTTTAACTATTTATGTACCTGTACCTGAATAACTTGCTTACTAAAATTAGGTTTTCATTTCCAGTAGGAGCACATTCATTGCCTTGGGAGCGGAATTCATTTCTACTGGCGAGACATTTCTGTTAAGAAGCAGGCAGCCTGAAACCTCCCCAATATGCATTAAGCCACTTAATTGTTTTAACACTGCAGGGAATGGTGATGGGATGTAAACAAACCAGCCTCCCATGTAGGCCTATCTGGATGCATACTACGATTTTAGCTCAGTACACATCACTTGGCTTTTCCTTCTTTTCATCGCCCCATCTCATCTCTGGATGTTTATCATAGCTTGCAAACGAAGTGCTGGTGAAGCCAGAAAGAATATTTAGCATGAAACTATGCCTATTAAAAAAAGCTAGAGGTAACTAAGATGCCAAAGGGTGGTGCACGCATCATGGAGAGTGCATAAGTGTTTTGTCTTGGAGAATCAACAATTCAGTTGATTTGAAACAGGCAAGGATAAGGATCTGTGCTATGAAGAATCCTGTGTGATAGTGAAAAGAATGAGGAATAGGTCAAGAGCCACCCTCTCCACACTCCAACATGTTATACATCCTGAACTTAACTAAGTATTAACCTAACTATTTTAAGCTAATATACTTGTTTAATTGTCTGAACCTCATTAGAATTCAGGTATTTCACAGAGCATCATTAGCAATGTTAGGTAAGAAAAAACATTTTTATAATATTAATAATATTGGTTATAGCTCTCAGAGGTATGAAGAGTGCAACCTTATTTTTTTTTAGACCAAAATTAGTGGAAATCATTAACAACACAGTTTTCAGGAAAGTAATTATGATTGTCAACTGTACTTCAATCAAAGGTTAAAAAAATAAAGGGCATTTAAACCATTTATTTAAAGTGTGCTCCTATTAACTAATACGTCAAAGGTTTCACTTTGCAGTTATATTAGTCAGAAAATAAATCTGTTTCTCATAACAACAAGGCAAGAGGCAAAGAAGAATACTAACCCTAGAAATATTAGTAACTTGTCTGTGTGCTCTCTCCTCCCATACTTGTTTAATATTTTCCTTGCTTGGCCAATAACCGAACCCATGGTCTTGAGTTCCTCCTGTGTTGACCCAATATACTGTGATCCTTCCACTGAAAATAAATGCAACAATTAACATCATAGTACATTAAATTAGTACTACATAAAAAAAACACTAAACCTGTATGGTATTGTACAATGCTACTTAATCTGTACTTTCTTAGTGTTGTATGACCCTCCTGGGGTTTAGTATCTATTATACTATTATTATGATTATTACAATTATAACTAAGTGCTAAGCCCACAAGAGATCATAATAATAACTGTACCTGTTTGCAACATTAATGGAGTGCTTTAAACTGGTCACTACAGAATATCTAATTTTTAATGGCAAATAGTTGGGTATTCCCAAAGGGGCACCTTTAAGTGTTTTTTTATTTAAAATCCCCCATTTAATCAGGTGCAAATTTTCAACACTGGTGTAATGTAATTAGGAAAAGGTTCATGCAATTACTGGCATGTGCCGACGCCCTCTGCTCAACATACACACCATTCCCAGTTCTGCTTTCCATGTGACAGCTTGACTCTCTTATAATCAGATTCAAATTTTTGCCCCTTATGGGAGAACGGGTGTCTTAATGGCACTGAAGGGATCTTGGTCCAAGGAATTGGCATCATCCTCCCTTAGACCCAATCTGATTGACAAGCATACCATTCCTACATGCCATTCCCTTTAGGGCTAACTACACCTTGCTTATTATTGTAAATCCCTTCAGCTTATATCTACACAAACTTGCAGTTTAGAGTCATTTCTTCAGGTGGTATACATGCCCCTAAGGTAAGGTATTCTTCAGGTGGTATATATGCCCCTAAGGTAAGGTATTCTTCAGGTGGTATATATGCCCCTAAGGTAAGGTATTCTTCAGGTGGTATATATGCCCCTAAGGTAAGGTATTCTTCAGGTGCTATATATGCCCCTAAGGTAAGGTATTCTTCAGGTGCTATATATGCCCCTAAGGTAAGGTATTCTTCAGGTGGTATATATGTCCCTAAGGTAAGGTATTCTTCAGGTGCTATATATGCCCCAAGGAAAGGTATTCTTCAGGTGCTATATATGTCCCTAAGGTAAGGTATTCTTCAGGTGGTATATATGCCCCAAGGTAAGGTATTCTTCAGGTGGTATATATGCCCCTAAGGTAAGGTATTCTTCAGGTGGTATATATGCCCCAAGGTAAGGTATTCTTCAGGTGGTATATATGTCCCTAAGGTAAGGTGTTCTTCAGGTGCTATATATGCCCCTAAGGTAAGGTGTTCTTCAGGTGCTATATATGCTCCTAAGGTAAGGTATTCTTCAGGTGCTATATATGCCCCTAAGGTAAGGTATTCTTCAGGTGCTATATATGCCCCTAAGGTAAGGTATTCTTCAGGTGGTATATATGCCCCAAGGTAAGGTATTCTTCAGGTGGTATATATGCCCCTAAGGTAAGGTATTCTTCAGGTGCTATATATGCCCCTAAGGTAAGGTATTCTTCAGGTGCTATATATGCCCCTAAGGTAAGGTATTCTTCAGGTGCTATATATGCCCCTAAGGTAAGGTATTCTTCAGGTGGTATATATGCCCCAAGGTAAGGTATTCTTCAGGTGCTATATATGCCCCTAAGGTAAGGTATTCTTCAGGTGCTATATATGCCCTAAGGTAAGGTATTCTTCAGGTGCTATATATGCCCCAAGGTAAGGTGTTCTTCAGGTGGTATATATGCCCCTAAGGTAAGGTATTCTTCAGGTGGTATATATGCCCCTAAGGTAAGGTATTCTTCAGGTGCTATATATGCCCCTAAGGTAAGGTATTCTTCAGGTGGTATATATGCCCCTAAGGTAAGGTATTCTTCAGGTGGTATATATGCCCCTAAGGTAAGGTATTCTTCAGGTGCTATATATGTCCCTAAGGTAAGGTAATCTTCAGGTGGTATATATGTCCCTAAGGTAAGGTATTCTTCAGGTGGTATATATGTCCCTAAGGTAAGGTATTCTTCAGGTGGTATATATGTCCCTAAGGTAAGGTATTCTTCAGGTGGTATATATGTCCCTAAGGTAAGGTATTCTTCAGGTGGTATATATGCCCCAAGGTAAGGTATTCTTCAGGTGGTATATATGTCCCTAAGGTAAGGTATTCTTCAGGTGCTATATATGTCCCTAAGGTAAGGTATTCTTCAGGTGCTATATATGTCCCTAAGGTAAGGTATTCTTCAGGGGGTTTATATATGTCCCTAAGGTAAGGTATTCTTCAGGTGGTATATATGCCCCAAGGTAAGGTATTCTTCAGGTGGTATATATGTTCCTAAGGTAAGGTATTCTTCAGGTGGTATATATGTCCCTAAGGTAAGGTATTCTTCAGGTGGTATATATGCCCCAAGTTAAGGTATTCTTCAGGTGGTATATATGCCCCAAGGTAAGGTATTCTTCAGGTGGTATATATGCCCCAAGGTAAGGTATTCTTCAGGTGGTATATATGTCCCTAAGGTAAGGTATTCTTCAGGTGGTATATATGTCCCTAAGGTAAGGTATTCTTCAGGTGGTATATATGCCCCAAGGTAAGGTATTCTTCAGGTGCTATGTATGTCCCTTAGGTAAGGTATTCTTCAGGTGGTATATATGCCCCAAGGTAAGGTATTCTTCAGGTGCTATATATGTCCCTAAGGTAAGGTATTCTTCAGGTGGTATATATGCCCCAAGGTAAGGTATTCTTCAGGTGCTATATATGTCCCTAAGGTAAGGTATTCTTCAGGTGCTATATATGTCCCTAAGGTAAGGTATTCTTCAGGTGCTATATATGTCCCTAAGGTAAGGTATTCTTCAGGTGGTATATATGCCCCAAGGTAAGGTATTCTTCAGGTGGTATATATGTCCCTAAGGTAAGGTATTCTTCAGGTGGTATATATGCCCCAAGGTAAGGTATTCTTCAGGTGGTATATATGCCCCAAGGTAAGGTATTCTTCAGGTGGTATATATGCCCCTAAGGTGAGGTATTCTTCAGGTGGTATATATGCCCCAAGGTAAGGTATTCTTCAGGTGGTATATATGCCCCAAGGTAAGGTATTCTTCAGGTGGTATATATGCCCCAAGGTAAGGTATTCTTCAGGTGGTTATATGCCCTAAGGTGAGGTATTCTTCAGGTGGTATATATGCCCTAAGGTAAGGTATTCTTCAGGTGGTATATATGCCCCTAAGGTGAGGTATTCTTCAGGTGGTATATATGCCCCTAAGGTGAGGTATTCTTCAGGTGGTATATATGCCCCAAGGTAAGGTATTCTTCAGGTGGTATATATGCCCCTAAGGTGAGGTATTCTTCAGGTGGTTATATATGCCCTAAGGTGAGGTATTCTTCAGGTGGTATATATGCCCCAAGGTAAGGTATTCTTCAGGTGGTATATATGTCCCTAAGGTGAGGTATTCTTCAGGTGGTATATATGCCCCAAGGTAAGGTATTCTTCAGGTGGTATATATGCCCTAGGTGAGGTATTCTTCAGGTGGTATATATGCCCAAGGTAAGGTATTCTTCAGGTGGTATATATGCCCCTAAGGTGAGGTATTCTTCAGGTGGTATATATGTCCCCAAGGTAAGGTATTCTTCAGGTGGTATATTAGCCCTAAGGTGAGGTATTCTTCAGGTGGTATATATGCCCAAGGTAAGGTATTTTCAGGTGGTATATATGCCCCTAGGTGAGGTATTCTTCAGGTGGTTATATATGCCCAAGGTAAGGTATTCTTCAGGTGGTATATATGCCCTAAGGTGAGGTATTCTTCAGGTGGTATTATGCCCCAAGGTAAGGTATTCTTCAGGTGGTATATATGCCCAAGGTAAGGTATTCTCAGGTGGTATATATGCCCTAAGGTAAGGTATTCTTCAGGTGGTATATATGTCCCTAAGGTAAGGTATTCTTCAGGTGGTATATATGCCCTAAGGTAAGGTATTCTTCAGGTGGTATATATGTCCCTAAGGTAAGGTATTCTTCAGGTGGTATATATGCCCTAAGGTGAGGTATTCTTCAGGTGGTATATATGCCCCAAGGTAAGGTATTCTTCAGGTGGTATATATGCCCCAAGGTAAGGTATTCTTCAGGTGGTATATATGTCCCTAACTAATAACCTAACTGGAAATGTAATCTAAACATTTTGGATATAGTTTAGATTCAATATACAATTTGTGAGTTAGTTTTCAATATTCAAAAACTTACCTAATCTGTCAACGGTGTTTCGGCTCTTCTCTGTGTTGTCTCTTATTAAACGTGTTACAGTCAGAAGATCATCAGACAGCTGGGACGACTTTTTAATTAATAATTCTCTACACATTCGGTCTCGTTGACGAACATTTGTTTCACCGTCTTCATTAGGTTCGGTGTTAGCAAAGAGTTCATCCTTACTACGCTGCAAATTGTACAATCACCTTTCAGAAATACATCAACATTAACAAATTTTCAGTTTTAAGCATTTTATGGCCTATACAAAGGAAAGAAGTTTGTACAATACAGGTCCTCCATCACAAATCCGGCATCATTGGGACCTGTAGTGTGCCGAGATTACTGAGTTTGCCGGATTACAGAGTAGTTAGGTTACAATACACTTAATAAATTAACCAACTTGACTGACACAAAAATCGAACATTTCTGGTACTTTGAGCTCAATTTCAAGGTACTTTTCATCATGGAAGCACATGTGCAATTCTTGGGTATCTTTATTGAGGAAACGTTTCGCCACACGGTGGCTTCATCAGTCCATACAAAGGAGAATCTTGAAGAACAGGAGGAGAATGAGGTAATCAGTCCCTCAACCTTGAGTCGATGTGTTCAGTCCATCAATCTTGAATAGAATACGGCATACGTGCGGAGAAGGAGCTTATAAACCATTGGCAGAAGAGGTGCAGCAGTCATAGGTAGTGTCACATTTGTTCAATGTGGAAGTAGGTCGCTTGCCTAATTCTTGGGCACGACCTACTTCCACATTGAACAAATGTGACACTACCTATGACTGCTGCACCTCTTCTGCCAATGGTTTATAAGCTCCTTCTCCGCACGTATGCCGTATTCTATTCAAGATTGATGGACTGAACACATCGACTCAAGGTTGAGGGACTGATTACCTCATTCTCCTCCTGTTCTTCAAGATTCTCCTTTGTATGGACTGATGAAGCCACCGTGTGGCGAAACGTTTCCTCAATAAAGATACCCAAGAATTGCACATGTGTCTAATTATCAACATGTCGGTTCTCTGAACCATTCATCTACAAATCATGAAAGCAATCAAAATCATGTCTATTTCTGTAATATATCTTCCATTATATCAAATGAGTCCAAAAAAATGAAAATACAAGCATGAAAACCATACGAAAATATACTGCAAAGAGGCGGCTAATGGCTGAGAAGTGAACTCCCTTATTTATCATCCGTCTTTTTTATTTTTGTTGTACGTTAAGAAGCATCTTTCCATCATACATTGCCCAAGTTTCAATGAGATAGCCCAACAAACACCCGAGAAAAAAAATATTTACCAAAAATCATATATGGCAAGCCCAAGCCAGGTACTGGAAATAAGTCACTTTGTCTGACTTTTCTGGGTTATCCCAGGTTCTCTATACACACACTGCTAAGTATGATAATCTATTATTTTTTTTTATTATCACACTGGCCGATTCCCACCAAGGCAGGGTGGCCCCAAAAAGAAAAACTTTCACCATCATTCACTCCTTCACTGTCTTGCCAGAAGGGTGCTTTACACTACAGTTTTTAAAATGCAACATTAACACCCCTCCTTCAGAGTGCAGGCACTGTACTTCCCATCTCCAGGACTCAAGTCCGGCTTGACGGTTTCCCTGAACCCCTTCATAAATGTTACTTTGCTCACACTCCAACAGCACGTCAAGTATTAAAAACCATTTGTCTCCATTCGCTCCTATCAAACACGCTCACGCATGCCTGCTGGAAGTCCAAGCCCCTCGCTCACAAAACCTCCTTTACCCCCTCCCTCCAACCTTTCCTAGGCCGACCCCTACCCCGCCTTCCTTCCACTACAGACTGATACACTCTTGAAGTCACTCTGTTTCGCTCCATTCTCTCTACGTGTCCGAACCACCTCAACAACCCTTCCTCAGCCCTCTGGACAACAGTTTTGGTAATCCCGCACCTCCTCCTAACTTCCAAACTACGAATTCTCTGCATTATATTCACACCACACATTGCCCTCAGACATGACATCTCCACTGCCTCCAGCCTTCTCCTCGCTGCAAACATTCATCACCATGCTTCACACCCATTAAGAGCGTTGGTAAAACTATACTCTCATACATTCCCCTCTTTGCTCCAAGGACAAAGTTCTTTGTCTCCACAGACTCCTAAGTGCACCACTCACCCTTTTCCCTCATCAATTCTATGATTCCCTCATCTTTCATAGACCTATCCGCTGACACGTCCTCTCCAAATATCTGAATACATTCACCTCCTCCATACTCTCTCCCTCCAATCTGATATCCACATCTTTCATCACCTAATCTTTCTGTTATCTCATTACCTTACTCTTTCCTGTATTCACTTTTAATTTTCTTCTTTTGCACACCCTACCAAATTCATCCACCAATCTCTGCAGCTTCTCTTCAGAATCTCCAAGAGCACAGTGTCATCAGCAAAGAGCAACTGTGACAACTCCCACTTTATGTGTGATTCTTTATCTTTTAACTCACGCCTCTTGCCAAGACCCTCGCGTTTACTTCTCTTACAACCCCATCTATAAATATATTAAACAACCACGGTGACATCACACATCCTTGTCTAATGCCTACTTTTATGGGAAATAATTTCCCCCTTTCCACATACTCTAACTTGAGCCTCACTATCCTCGTAAAAACTCTTCACTGCTTTCAGTAACCTACCTCCTACACCATACACTTGCAACATCTGCCACATTGCACCCCTATCCACCTGTCATACGCCTTTTCCAAATCCATAAATGCCACAAAGACCTCTTTAACCTATATCTAAATACTGTTCACTTATATGTTTCACTGTAAACACTGGTCAACACACCCCCTACTTTCCTAAAGCCTCTTGTTCATCTGCTATCCTATTCTCAGTCTTACTTTTAATCTTTCAATAATAACTCTACCATACACTATTACAGGTATACTCAACAGACTTATCCCCCTATAATTTTTGCACTCTTTTTGTCCCCTTTGCCTTTATACAAAGGAAACTATGCATGCTCTCTGCCAATCCCTAGGTACCTTACCTCTTCCATACATTTATTAAATAATTGCACCAACCACTCCAAAACTATATCCCACTGCTTTTAACATTTCTATCTTTATCCCATCAATCCCGGCTGCCTTACCCCTTTCATTTTACCTATTGCCTCAAGAACTTCCCCCACACTCACAATGGCTCTTCCTCACTCCTACAAGAGTTATTCTCCTTGCCCTATACACGGAAATCACAGCTTCCCTATCTTCATCAACATTTAACAATTCCTCAAAATATTCCCTCCATCTTCCAATACCTCTAACTCTCCATTTAATAACTCTCCTCTCCTATTTTTAACTGACAAATCCATTTGTTCTCTAGACTTCCTTACTTGTTAATTCTCACTCCAAAACTTTTTCTTATTTTCAACAAAATTTGTTGATAACATCTCACCCACTCTCTCATTTGCTCTCTTTTTACATTGCTTCACCACTCTCTTAACCTCTCTCTTTTTCTCCATATACTCTTCCCTCCTTGCATCACTTCTACTTTGTCAAAACTTCTCATATGCTAACTTTTTCTCCCTTACTACTCTCTTTACATCATCATTCCACCAATCACTCCTCTTCCCTCCCGCACCCACTTTCCTGTAACCACAAACTTCTGCTGAACACTCTAACACTACATTTTTAAACCTACCCCATACTTCTTCGACCCCATTGCCTATGCTCTCATTAGTCCATCTATCCTCCAATAGCTGTTTATATCTTACCCTAACTGCCTCCTCTTTTAGTTTATAAACCTTCACCTCTCTCTTCCCTGATGCTTGTGTTTCCTTGTATCCATCTACCTTTTACTCTCAGTGTAGCTACAACTAGAAAGTGATCTGATATATCTGTGGCCCCTCTATAAACATGTACATCCTGAAGTTCTACTCAACAGTCTTTTATCTACCAATACATTATCCAACAAACTACTGTCATTTCGCCCTACATTATATCTTGTATACTTATTTATCCTCTTTTTCTTAAAATATGTATTACCTATAACTAAACCCCTTTCTATACAAAGTTCAATCAAAGGGCTCCCATTATCATTTACACCTGGCACCCCAAACTTACCTACCACACCCTCTCTAAAAGTTTCTCCTACTTTAGCATTCAGGTCCCCTACCACAATTACTCTCTCACTTGGTTCAAAGGCTCCTATACATTCACTTAACATCTCCCAAAATCTCCCTCTCTCCTCTACATTCCTCTCTTCTCCAGGTGCATACACGCTTATTATGACCCACTTTTCGCATCCAACCTTTACTTTAATCCACATAATTCTTGAATTTACACATTCATATTCTCTTTTCTCCTTCCATAACTGATCCTTCAATATTACTGCTACCCCTTCCTTTGCTCTAACTCTCTCAGATACTCCAGATTTAATTCCATTTATTTTCCCCCACCGAAGCTCCCCTACCCCCTTCAGCTTTGTTTCGCTTAGGCCAGGACATCCAACTTCTTTTCATTCATAACATCAGCAATCATCTGTTTCTTGTCATCCGCACTACATCCACGCACATTCAAGCATCCCAGGTTTAAAAAGTTTTTCTTCTTTTTTTTTTTAGTAAATGTTACAGGAAAAGGGGTTACTAGCCCATTGTCCCGGTTTTAGTCGCCTCATAGACCGCATGGCTTACGGAGCAAAGTTCTTTTCTTTTTTCCCCTGAAAATCTTAAAATTTTTTGGGGTTTTCCCTGAATCAACTATTTACTTCTAGTCTGTAACTGAGTACAAAAAACGCCCTTTTACTTATTTCTTTTCCAATAAAGTGGTCGAAATTGGCAGTTTGGCCAATTTCCACAAATTTCAAAAAGTGCCCAAATTTTAAATAGGGTCGAATAAACAAAGAGACTTTTGGCACTAAAAAAAACATTTTCTCTGTTCATTAGTCGGCTCAGGCCCCCCTTTTATTTTCTCTTGTTACCATTTGGAATTTTTATTCACACAAAAAAACAGAAGTTTTCCGTTATGCAGAATCATTATTGTAAAAATGTAAAAAATAACGTCAACCCCGACTACTATTGGAATTTTTACTAGTAAAGAAAGAAACATTTTCGCTACTGTGAGGCAATTTAAGGTACTTTTCGTCATGAAAGCAAAAAAATATACTATTTTTGAATTATATTTATTTATAAAAAGGACCCAAAAAAAAAGAGAATTTAACCATAAAAAATACAAAAATTACGCTAAGCAGCCCCTAAAGGCTGAGAAGAACTCCCCTATTTATGGTCTGATTTCTGTTCGTTTAGAAATCTTTCCTATACATTGCCCAAGTTTGATAAAAAAAAACCCCAAAAAAAACGAGAAAAAAAATTAATAATAATAAAAATAATAATAATAATTTTTAATAAATTTTTTTTAAAAGTACAAAGGGTTTCAGGCCTAGTGACTCGTGACTATATGTATGAAAGCCCTCGTTTTGCGAGTATTCAAGAAAAGTAGGTCAGTGTCCGGATAACCCCAATAGTGGGCTAACCCCAGGTCCCATTTACGATGGGTAAAAATAGACAAAAGGTGTAAAGAAACATGCCTAATGTTTCTACCCTGGCTGGGGATGAAATATTTACCAAAAATCATATATGGCTAACCCAAGCCAGGTACTAAAAATAAGCCACGTTGACTTTTTTGGGTTATCCTAGGTTCTCTACACATATGCTGATATGTGTGATAATCTATATAGAGAAAATAACTTTTTTGTTTCAGGTTTATGGTGCAGTACGAGTGTATATCACAGTTAGCCCTGTGCTATATGTACTTCGTTTTCTCTAATATAAGCCCCAAGACAGGGATAGGAGAAGGGTATTTGTATACCATATATCCTCTTCATTCCTTCGTCGAACTGCTCGGTGTTATGCCAAATATTATTTATTCTGGAGTATACAACATGTTTTGTTATTTATATTGTTTATTATGTCATATTAGATCAATTGTGATAGGCAAATAAGCTGTAGTGTTGATATTAGCGTAATAATAAAGCATATTCTCCTGCTTCTTGAGACTGAGTTCATGGCAACTGACAGTGGCTTCAAAGCCACCTTATCTTTAATGGATAATGTACTGTGTAGGTGCTTTACATAATGAGAAGCATTTCTTTTATTCATTGGAACCATGGCTAGGGCTAAAAGTAAGCAGGTTAAAACAATAAATGGAGAAAAAGAAATTGGAATGACTTATTACCTGCAGCAAGTATCGCCACCAAACAGTACCAGCAGGTTGGCGTGGTAACCCTGGAAATTTAAAATTATGCTAGCTAGCCAAAATTAGTGACGAATAACTGAAGGAACCGAATAACTGATTGCCGGATTTGTGATGGCGGACCTGTATCAAAAAATATTAATGAAAAATAGTACTACCTGATTAATAGCAAGCTGTGATATAAGGAGGGCATTTCGAAAAGCTCGATGATTGTCCTGAAGCATTTTATCACTCTTAGCAGCTTCCTCAGTCAATGCAGAGCAGTCCACCTCACTATCTTGCTCCTTATGAAAATAAAAAGGCATGTCAAAATTTTATAAATCTGGCAGACAGCCAATGGCACCATCTGTGAAGCAAATAAAATTAGTTGTTGACTGTTCCTACAATGTAGATGCTCTTTGTCAAATTTACTGTAACTATAATAAATCTCTTCAAGGAAGGTGCCTTGATGGTGATGAAGGGATCTTCATCCAAGGACCTGCAGCTACTCTCCACTCCTCAGATCAGATTCTCCTTTCCACCCACTCCCCAGCCCCCTGTATGACTAATAGGTTCAGTGCTTCCTTATGGGTGTTAAAGGAATGTAAAGAGGAACTTAGCATACCTTTGGCTAATCTTTTTAACATATCACTACAAACTGGCATAGTGCCTGATAAGTGGAAAATGGCAAATGTAATACCTATTTACAAGGCAGGTGACAGGTCCTTGGCTTTGAACTATAGACCAATAAGCCTTACCTCCATAGTGGGAAAATTTAAGTGTGGGGGAGGTACGTGAGGCATTACGTAAAATGAAAGGGGGTAAAGCAGCTGGAACTGATGGGATCATGACAGAAATGTTAAAAGCAGGGGGGGATATAGTGTTGGAGTGGTTGGTACTTTTGTTTAATAAATGTATGAAAGAGGGGAAGGTACCTAGGGATTGGCAGAGAGCATGTATAGTCCCTTTATATAAAGGGAAAGGGGACAAAAGAGACTGTAAAAATTATAGAGGAATAAGCTTACCGAGTATACCAGGAAAAGTGTACGGTAGGGTTATAATTGAAAGAATTAGAGGTAAGACAGAATGTAGGATTGCGGATGAGCAAGGAGGTTTTAGAGTGGGTAGGGGATGTGTAGATCAGGTGTTTACATTGAAGCATATATGTGAACCAGTATTTAGATAAAGATAGGGAGGTTTTTATTGCATTTATGGATTTAGAAAAGGCATATGATAGAGTGGATAGAGGAGCAATGTGGCAGATGTTGCAGTATATGGAATAGGTGGTAAGTTATTAAATGCTGTAAAGAGTTTTTATGAGGATAGTGAGGCTCAGGTTAGGGTGTGTAGAAGAGAGGGAGACTACTTCCCGGTAAAAGTAGGTCTTAGACAGGGATGTGTAATGTCACCATGGTTGTTTAATATATTTATAGATGGGGTTGTAAAGGAAGTAAATGCTAGGGTGTTTGGGAGAGGGGTGGGATTAAAATTATGGGGAATCAAATTCAAAATGGGAATTGACACAGTTACTTTTTGCTGATGATACTGTGCTTATGGGAGGATTCTAAAGAAAAATTGCAAAGGTTAGTGGATGAGTTTGGGAATGTGTGTAAAGGTAGAAAGTTGAAAGTGAACATAGAAAAGAGTAAGGTGATGAGGGTGTCAAATGATTTAGATAAAGAAAAAATTGGATATCAAATTGGGGAGGAGGAGTATGGAAGAAGTGAATGTTTTCAGATACTTGGGAGTTGACGTGTCGGCGGATGGATTTTATGAAGGATGAGGTTAATCATAGAATTGATGAGGGAAAAAAGGTGAGTGGTGCGTTGAGGTATATGTGGAGTAATAAAAACGTTATCTATGGAGGCAAAGAAGGGAATGTATGAAAGTATAGTAGTACCAACACTCCTATATGGGTGTGAAGCTTGGGTGGTAAATGCAGCAGCAAGGAGACGGTTGGAGGCAGCGGAGATGTCCTGTCTAAGGGCAATGTGTGGTGTAAATATTATGCAAAAAATTCGGAGTGTGGAAATTAGGAGAAGGTGTGGAGTTAATAAAAGTATTAGTCAGAGGGCAGAAGAGGGGTTGTTGAGGTGGTTTGGTCATTTAGAGAGAATGGATCACAGTAGAATGACATGGAAAGCATATAAATCTATAGGGGAAGGAAGGCGGGGTAGGGGTCGTCCTCGAAAGGGTTGGAGAGAGGGGGTAAAGGAGGTTTTGTGGGTAAGGGGCTTGGATTTCCAGCAAGCGTGCGTGAGCGTGTTAGATAGGAGTGAATGGAGACGAATGGTACTTGGGACCTGACGATCTGTTGGAGTGTGAGCAGGGTAATATTTAGTGAAGGGATTCAGGGAAACCGGTTATTTTCATTATAGTCGGACTTGAGTCCTGGAAATGGGGAAGTACAATGCCTGCACTTTAAAGGAGGGGTTTGGGATATTGGCAGTTTGGAGGGATATGTTGTGTATCTTTATATGTGTATGCTTCTAGACTGTTGTATTCTGAGCACCTCTGCAAAAACAGTGATAATGTGCGAGTGTGGTGAAAGTGTTGAATGATGATGAAAGTATTTTCTTTTTGGGGATTTTCTTTCTTTTTTGGGTCACCCTGCCTCGGTGGGAGACGGCCGACTTGTTGAAAAAAAAAAAAAAAAATAATTGCCGAAGCAATTCGTAGCCATCTTGACAGGCACAGATTGATTAATGAATCTCAACACGGTTTTACAAAGGGGCGTTCCTGTCTTACGAATTTACTAACTTTTTTCACTAAGGTGTTTGAGGAGGTAGATCATGGTAATGAATATGATATTGTGTATATGGACTTCAGTAAGGCATTCAATAGAGTTCCACACCAGAGGCTATTGAGGAAACTTAAGGCACACGGAATAGGAGGAGAAATTTTTTCCTGGGTAGAGGCATGGCTGACAAATAGACAGCAGAGAGTTTGCATAAATGGGGAGAAATCAGAATGGGGGCACGTCACAAGCGGTGTTCCTCAGGGGTCAGTGTTGGGCCCGTTGTTGTTCACAATTTACGTAAACGACATAGATGAGGGAATAAATAGCGACATAAGCAAATTTGCTGATGACACCGTAATAGGCAGTCCAATTCATTCTAATGAGGACACTAGAGCACTCCAGGATGATTTGAATAGACTGATGCAATGGTCGGAGAAGTGGCAGATGCAGTTTAATATTGACAAATGCAAAGTTCTAAATGTTGGACAGTTAAATAACCATGCCACATATAAACTAAATGATGTAGATCTTAATACTACTGATTGAGAAAAGGATTTAGGAGTTCTGGTTAGCAGTAATCTAAAACCAAGACAACAGTGCATTAGTGTTGGCAATAAAGCTAACAGAATTCTTGGCTTCATATCTAGAAGTATAAATAATAGAAGTCCTCAGGTTGTTCTTCAACACTATATATCCTTGGTTAGGCCTCATTTAGACTATGCTGCTCAGTTCTGGTCACCGTATTACAGAATGGATATAAATGCTCTGGAAAACGTACAGAGGAGGATGACAAAGATGATCCCATGTATCAGAAATCTTCCCTATGAGGATAGACTGAGGGCTCTGAAACTGCACTCTCTCGAAAGGCATAGAATTAGGGGAGATATGATTGAGGTGTATAAATGGAAAACGGGAATAAATAAAGGGGATGTAAATAGCGTGCTGAAAATTTCCAGCCAAGCCAGGACTCGCAGCAATGGTTTCAAGTTGGAAAAATTCAGATTCAGGAAGGATATAGGAAAGCACTGGTTTGGTAATAGAGTTGTGGATGAGTGGAACAAACTCCCGAGTACAGTTATTCAGGCTAAAACGTTGTGTAGTTTTAAAAATAGGTTAGATAAATACATGAGTGGGTGTGGGTGGACCTGACTAGCTTGTGCTGCTGGGTCTGGTGCAGTGCTCCATCCTTGAGTGGAGATGATCAGACTGGGTGGGTCATTGGGCTAATCCGGGGTGGGTCATTGGTCTAATCCGGGGGGGGGGGGGGGGGACATGGACCTCCTCCACATGGGTCAGTAGGCCTGTTGCAGTGTTCCTTCTTTCTTATGTTCTATGAGTATAGCAATAATATTATTAATCTAAATCCATAAATTACTGTACTTTGAATTTACTGTCTAACCATAATTACTCTTAATATTAGTGTGTCCTGTCAGAGGAACATTATATCATTCTGGGAAAAAAAAAAAAAAAAAAAAAAATCTTTAGTTTGTTTGAGGTGTCTGAGCTGTTTGAGCATTCAAATTTAAATATACAGATACTTTATACAGTACATAAATTATCAATCAAAAGATATGAATATGTACCATATTCGCAAAAAAAATTATGGGAATACTGTATTACAGTACTTCACAACACTTACAACAATAACTTATACTATAATTACCAGTAATTAAACATAACAGACCTGTGCTAAACGTTTCAGTTCTTCAATTTGTTCTCGAAGCTGGCTGATACGAGAACGAACCAAAGATCCAATTTCGTCCAATTCAATTTGAGTTCCAGTGTGGTCACGGATTTCCTGTAAATGTTATCATAAATGTATTATGATAACTCCAAAGAGTTCAGAGGATGAGATTCTATGGAAATGAAATACAGGTTGAACATTTACTGAATAAGTACTGTATGTACATGAAAATAAATGCATGTAAGGAAAAAAGATTTAAAGGATTCAAAAAATATAACATCAATGAAATAGGGCATGACAGAAATGAGAAAATAGGAGCTATCTTAATTGGTAGTGCCTGATTATCTTTTATACTATATGGAGAAAGACAAACTTTATTTCTATAATGCAGAGTAAAGTATATTATACAATTAAGGTGACTAACATATACATAAATACTTCAGAGAAAGCCCCTTGTTATGCAAAGCATTTTGGGCAGCCTTAAAACTAAATTATAATTATGTATGTACGAGAATAAGAACACATAGTTTTTAAAATACTGGAGGTAGTCAGTAAATCAATAAAAGTATGAGAGGTACTGCATATACATGAAGGATTAGAGCACTGTACTTATGTATTCTGTAATTTTAGCATTTATCAAAAAATAAAGCGTTCTACACTAGCAAGGTAGTATTATAATTAACTTGCACATTTATGAGGAGACTGACCTGTATGAGGCTCTTCACTGTCACATCATACTTCACAATATCTTGTTTTACCACATTGATGTACATCTGGTCATCCTGCGGCATTTTTGCTATTTAATGGTTCGTCCTGCTACACTGCAATAATAAATGATACTGAGTAAGCTTATTCAAGTATACACAAATACAGTTACATAGATTATCATACATAGCAGCATATGTGTAGAGAACCTGGGATAACACAAAAAAGTCAGAGTGACTTATTTCCATTGGGGTCCTTTTACCCTTATTTTTTTTTTTCAACAATCGGGGGGGCCGCTCATAACATCTTATTATCATACAAAAAGACTATGACAATACGAGGTCATTACTGGGAAATGAGAAAAATTACACTTGTGTTATTTAAAAAATAAAAAAATCATTCCCTCCCGTTCTAGCTACATTTTCATCAACACCTTTTTGGGACTTTCTTGAACGGGTTCTTTGCTATACTGCTTACATGTGCAGGTGTCTGTCCATTCCTTTATTGCGTACAATAAAAGGGTTTGAAGCCTGGCCTGACTGTGGCTATACAAATTGTGCTCTTCCCCTAGAATAAATGCTGCAGTTCCACCTTGACAATAAGATAATTTTGAAATTTTAGAAAACAACAATAAGCAAACTTATAATACACAAACCCATTTCCTACATAGACTTCTGTTATAACAATGTGTTTAAGAAAAAATATTTTACAATTTTCCAATTAAATCACAAACTTATAGAAGAATCTAAAGGTTCCCAACACCCTTTTAAACACAATGTGACAGATCCCACCATTCCATTAAGATAAGCTTTTTTTCAGAAAGCTAAAATATCTTTCAGCGTAAGTGAAAATATACAAATCAAAGTCCAAGGTGTTTTTGGCAACATACAATAAATAATTTTAAATTTACTTAGGTTAACTAAAACGAAGTCCACAGCATAATTTACATTAATACCATTGATGTTTATATTTAGGCAAACATTACAACCGTTACATTAACCCCCAAAGTGATACTACATACGACGTATACATAAAACGTCCCAAAGAAAACAACTTTGTATGGTACATTTTTACATAGAAATCACAAGTGTCCCACGGCTTGGTTGGCAACGCACTCCCTCTACACAACTGATGCCCTGTTTTTTCAATCCCACATGGGTAGAAACTTGACATGTTCCTCACACCTGTTTCCCTTCCTATCACAAGTACGCCCTGGTGTTACTAAAATGGTGTTAGCATCCGGGAGACAAGAAAAAGGGACCACAATAGAAAAAAGACAACAGTCCCTGATGACTCACTAATTTTCTTGGTTATCCTGGTTGGCACTCTCCCCTACCCTGGGAAAACCCTTGATGGCTAACTTTCTGGGGTTAAAAATGCAAATGAAACTTATCAAAACCGGAACAATTAGACGATTAATTTTCGAAACGTTTGCCTACCAGTACTAGTAAATAAAGTCTAATTTTACAGTACATGTACAACTTATACTGACCATAGGGGATCAATGACAAAATTACTAATTAGAAAGCCCTTTGTTTTTCTGAGAGTTTATCTGGAAGATTTTCCGGGGGTCAACGCCCCCGCGGCCCCGTCTGTGACCAGCCTCCTTAGCAGTGTCCCAATGCGCCCCACACCATCGACTAACACCCAGGAAACCCTTTTTACTGATGGGAACAGACAACCGGGTGAAAGAAACACTTCCAATTTTTCTACTCTGCTGGGAACCGAACCCAGCCCTCACCGTGTGAAGCAGAAGCTTAACCACCAGGCCAACCAGAGCCCAAATTTCCCGTAAATTAGGTTAATTTTGTCCCCAGGATGCGACCCACACCAGTCAACTAATACCCAGGTACCTATTTTACTGCTAGGTGAACATGGACAGCAGGTGTCTTAAGGAAACATATCTTAATGTTTCTACCCGTACCGGGAACAACAGGGCCCCCCAGGGGTGTAGCTGAGTGCGCTACCAACCCAACCACAGGACACCTGGAGTGAAGATATAATAATTCAATCAATTTTGAAGATCCCTTGAGAAGTATTTAGCTTCATAATTGCCTGAAATGTTATATATCAGAAGCAGCTCGTGTATATACAACTGTGAACCATCTCTGTATAAACATATATTAAAATAATATCATTATTACTGAGCATAATATGGTACTGCATTTTCAAATTGCTCAATAAAGTACAGCCACACCTCACCTGTCATCACACCAGCAGGACACACCAGCAGGACACACCTGCAGGACACACCTGCAGGACACACCAGCAGGACACACCAGCAGGACACACCAGCAGGACACACCTGCAGGACACACCTGCAGGACACACCAGCAGGACACACCAGCAGGACACACCTGCAGGACACACCTGCAGGACACACCAGCAGGACACACCAGCAGGACACACCTGCAGGACACACCTGCAGGACACAAAACAGCAGGACACACAGCAGGACAAACAGCAGGACACACCAGCGACACACCAGCAGGACACCCAGCAGGACACACCGCAGACACACCGCAGGACACACCAGCAGACACACCTGCAGGACCCCAAACCCGCAACACACGACAGACACACGAGCAGGACACACCTGCAGGACACACCAGCAGACACACCAGCAGGGCAAAACCTGCAGGACACACCTGCAGGACACACCAGCAGGAACACACAGCAGGACACACCAGCAGGACACACCCAGCAGAACACCAGCAGGACAACACCAGCAGGACACACCTGCAGGGAAAACACCAGCAGGACACACCAGCAGGACACACCTGCAGGACACACCTGCAGGACACACGAGCAGGACACACGAGCAGGACACACCTGCAGGACACACCAGCAGGACACACCAGCAGGACACACCTGCAGGACACACCTGCAGGAAAACACCAGCAGGACACCACCCCGCCAGGACACACCAGCAGGAACACACCTGCAGGACACACCAGCAGGACACACCTGCAGGACACACCAGCAGGACACACCTGCAGGACACACCAGCAGGACACACCTGCAGGACACACCTGCAGGACACACCAGCAGGACACACCAGCAGGACACACCTGCAGGACACCCCCACGGACCACCTGCAGGACACACCTGCAGACACACCACAGGGAAAACCGACAGACACACCAGCAGACAAAACTGCAGGACACACACCACAGACACCCAGCAGGGCACACCAGCAGGACCCCACCTGCCCGGACACACCACAGGACACACCTGCAGGACCCCACCAGCAGGACACACCTGCAGGACACACCAGCAGGACACACCTGCAGGACACCCACCCGCAGGACACACCAGCAGGACACACCAGCAGGCACAACCTGCAGGACACACCAGCAGGACACACCTGCAGGACACACCTGCAGGACACACCTGCAGGACACACCAGCAGGACACACCAGCAGGACACACCAGCAGGACACACCTGCAGGACACACCAGCAGGACACACCTGCAGGACACACCTGCAGGACACAAACCCGCAGGACCCCCACCAAACAGGAAAACACCAGCAGGACACAACTGCAGGACACACCAGCAGGACACACCAGCAGGACACACCTGCAGGACACACCTGCAGGACACACCTGCAGGACACACCAGCAGGACACACCAGCAGGACACACCAGCAGGACACACCACAGGACACACCCGCAGACACACCAGCAGGACACACCTGCAGGACACACCAGCAGGACACACCAGCAGGACACACCTGCAGGACACACCAGCAGGACACACCAGCAGGACACACCAGCAGGACACACCACAGGACCACATCTGGGAGACACACCAGCAGGACACACCAGCAGGACACAACTGTAGGACACACCAGCAGGACACACCAGCAGGACACACCAGCAGGACACAACTGTAGGACACACCAGCAGGACACACCAGCAGGACACACCAGCAGACACAACTCAGGACACACCAGCAGGACCCCACCACAGACACAACGTAGACAAAACCAGCAAGACACACCAGCAGGGCACAACTGTAGGACACACCAGCAAGGACACACCACAGGACCACAACTGCAGGACACACCAGCAGGACACAAACCCGCAGACACACCAGCAGGACACACCACAGGACACAACTGCAGGACACACCAGCAAAAACACACCAGCAAGACAACACCACAGGACACACACAGGACAACCAGCGCCACAACGTAGACACACCACAGGACACACCAGCAGGGCACAACTGCAGGGCACACCCAGACACACCACAGGACACACCAGCAGAACACCAGCAGGACACACTGCAGGACACACCAGCAGGACACCCCCAGCAGAACAACTGCGCACACCCACAGACACACCAGCAGACACCCCCAGCAACCACACCACAGGACCCACCACAGACACACCACAGGACACAACTGTAGACAACCAGCAGACACAACTGCAGGACACACCAGCAGGACACACCACAGGGCACCCACAGGGCCACACCACAGGACCACGCAGGCCACCAGCAGGACACACCAGCAGGACACACCAGCAGGACACACCAGCAGGACACAACTGCAGACACAACTGCCCGGGCACACCAGCAGGACACAACTGCGACACACCTGCAACACACCAAGCTTTAAACAAGATTTATACAATATGACCATGAAAAACACTCTTACCTTCACTAACTACTACCGCTACGCTGCTGTTACTACTTTCCTGCTCTGCTGCTGCTTACTACTGCTGCGCTACGCTGCGTTACTACTGCTGCTGCTACTGCTTGCTCTTACTACTGCCCGCTCGCTGCTACTGCCCTGTTACTACTACTGCTGCTGCTGCTGCTGCTGCTTTCTGCTGGGTGCTGTTTGCTGCTGCTTTCTGCTGCTGCTGCTGTTACTACTGCTGTGCTGCAGCTGCTGCTCTGCTGCTGCTGCTGCTGCTCTGCTGCTGTTACTACTGCTCTGTACTGCTGCTGCCTGCTGCTGCTGCTGCTACTGCTGCTGTACTACTGCTACTCTGCTGCCTGCTCGCTGGGTGTTTCTGCTACTCTGCTGCTGCTTACTACGCTGCTGCGCCTTTTGCTTGGCTGCAACTGCTGCTGCTCTGTTTACACTGCTTCTGCTGGCTGACTGCTGCTGT